CAAGACATAGGAATGTGACCCCCCTAGCTTACAAGTGGCTAATCAGCACTACTCTACAGTGTAATTATGGGATACACCTCATTAAACCTCTCAGATAAAGAAGAAAGATGTTTTTCTGATTCAAAGTGTTTTCAGATCAAGTATACCTCTAGGTTACAAGGTGAAGGGGCACCAGAAGTTAGCAAGGACATCTGCTAACATGGCCTCTTGGGTCTATGAGTTTTCTTCTCTGTTTTTTCCAGTTTCATCTTAGGCCACAAAATTACACCACTTCTATTATTTATGAAGAGTTTACAACAATACAATTGTCCAAATTCATCTTATCCTAACAATAAGGCAATGAAAGGCAGAATTCTATGTAACACAGCAATTTCAAATCTGCTTAAATCCAAAGAGATTTTTACCACACAATTTGATTTTCACATCAATAAAATATTAGACATAAACAAAGCACAGCTAGTGGAAACAAGCCACAATAAATGAAAGTGTAGACATTGCTCGGTCGCTAAAGAAAGCCCTTGACATTTCCAGTTTCACACCATCAAATTAATCATTCTTGCTGCTTTAAAAACACGAATCAGGGGCGCCTTGGTGGCTCAGTCGGGTAAGCATCTGCCTTTGGCTCAGGTCATGATCCCAGGACACGGGGATCCAGCCCTGAGTCAGCTCCCAGCTCAGTGGGGAGCCTGCTTCTCCCTCCCCTCCCTGACTAACTCTTGTTCTCTCTTGCTCACTCTTCTCTCTCTCTCAAATAAATAAATAATCTAACTTGATTACAAAATAGTCTAAGAAAAAAACACTTGGCCTGATTATTTACGTAACTGCAGGTAGAACGGAGGTTGAGCTAGAGACCCTTTAAAAACAGGTTTGCAGGAACATTTCATGAGGAATCTCTAAACTGAACTTTTTAAAAGAAGATTTTATTTATTTATTTGAGAGAGAGAAAGAGAATGAGAGACACGGAGCATGAGAGGGGAGAGAGGTCAGAGGGAGAAGCAGACTCTCCGCCAAGCAGGGAGCCCAATGTGGGACTCGATCCTGGGACTCCAGGATTAAGACCTGAGCCGACGGCAGTAGCTTAACCAACTGAGCCACCCAGGAGCCCTCTAAACTGAACTTTTAATAGCATCTCCAGGTCAGAGGCCATGCCATATACTTGCCACCAGACCTTAAGAACAGTAACCACAGATTTCAGTGACTTCCTCTCTTCGTGAAGTCCCCTAAATATCCTGAGTATCCTGCACCTGCTGGAAGTAATCGTCCTTGCTCATATGGTGAAGCAGGCTGGTATTTCCCAAGGGGGCCCTCTTTGCCCCATAAAGTCAGTCTTCGTCCGCTACATCTGTCTCGTCATAGCTGAGTCTATGCAGTTCTTTCTCAGCTATGACGTTCCAGTGCAAGCCTTGCTCATATAACCAGTGTCTCTATTTGTGTCTTGTCATCATGAGAACAGATTCTGATTGAAGTTAAACAAATGTGCAGACAGGCATTAAAATATAAAAGCAGTTACTGAGACTCTCTGAATTCTGGAGGAATCAGGGAGAAAGATAAACGGTGCAATTTGTTTACAAAGGTGTATTTTGTGCAACTGCAGCACGTCAGTGAACTTAAGGGACAAAATTTCGTAAAGCTGTAAAAACCAAAATATTTTTTGAAAGGTTTTATTTAAATTCCAGTGAGTTAACATGCGCTGTCAGATGTGTTTCAGGTGTACAACAGTGACTGAACAATTCCGTACAACACCCGTGCTCAATACAACAAATGCCCCTCTTCATTCCCATCACTCATTTAGCTCATCCCCCATCCATCTCCACTCTGGTAACCATCCGTTTCTTCTCTGTAATTAAGAGTCTATTTCTTGATCTGCCCGTCTCCTTTTCTTTCTCCTTTGCTTGTTTGTTTCTTACATTCCACATACAAGTGAAATCACCTGGTATTTGTCCTTCTCTGACTTCTTCCGGTTAGCATAATACTCTAGCTCCATCCCTGTCATTGCAAATGGCAAGATTTCATTCCATTTTAACGCTGAGTAATATTCCGTTCTAGATATACACACCACATCTCTTTATCCGTTGTCAGTGAACACTTGCACCAGACTGAAGCAGAAATGCTCACTGCACTGACTGTTGTACCAAGAAATCCATGGCAACAGACAGAGCCAGAGCATGGGATGACCCCCATCATCCACTCAGTAAAGGGAGGAAGGTCCACACAGCACTATACCATCTTCCATGGAAGGTCACCCATCTACATTGGATCTAAACTGTGTTGAGGTTATACACCTGGGATACTAGCACTTTTGCAAACCACAGCACACGCCTTGCTGATCCTGCCTATTCCACTGTGCAGAAGACGCCTTCGCCTCCAACATCTACTCTGCCATGTGCCATTTTGCAGCTATGCTCCAAATGACTGCATCATCCAATACCCTTCCTCCATCCTCCGCCGTGATCTAGGCCTGGGCAAACACAGTCAACACAACAGCATCTGGTCCTCACTAGCACAGGAATTCAATTCAATTGTGAAGATAAGACTTCCCTACTCCTCAGAAACCCACCACACGGGCGGATTCCTTCATTCCATTCCATGTACTCATCAGACGACCCCACCAAGAGATGCCTGTGCCTTTCCAGGGACTAAAGGGAGCCACGCTGAGTTCCCTACCCACACTGAAACGAGTTAATCACATTTTTTTAAAATAGGTCTTACTTTTCTAAGGGCAGTGCCACCACCCTCTTTCACTTACATTCGCATCCCACAACCAGGGCTAAATTTCTGAAATTGATACCCATCGGCCTTACTCGTCTCTAATGGCAATTAAGAGGTCAGTGAGGACACTCTCACCACAACACAGGCAAATAAGAATGTTTGAGATGCCTGTGTAGGTGGAGATAAAACTGGGGATAAACAGAAATGGGGATCTGTAGATCACTAGGAAAATAAACAGGTGTAAGTTGTTTTTCTAATTCCGGGGAGTCCGTTGTGCAACCCAGGAACGGCGTCCTCTCTCCACGTACAGAATTCATTCTTCATCCTCTGACTTTCTCTCTCTTAACTAGGGCTACAGTATCACTCCTACATACCAACCACCATTGTACATGTACGTTTACTTTATAGAAACATGAAAACAACATCCACACATATGAAGTGGGGCACATACCTTTATTAGGGGCCAAGGTAGAGTGCTTTAGAGTCCCTGGGGAAGTCCAGAGAGCCTTACAAACTGAAGTAGGTTTACGTAAGCTCAGTGGGAGTCTTCTCTGAAGGACACATAAGGGGAAGGTCATGGGAGACAGTGGTTGCTCAGAAAGGTGGACTGGGAATGTCATATGAGAAGGTACATTAACTTCTGACTCTGCAGCTTGTTATGTAGGGAATGCACTAGTAAGATCGCCTTGTGTCATTTAAAGTCCCCTGCAAAACTCCTGCCTACACGAAATGTATGCTAAGTAGCACTGTCATGGAGTACTTCAGTTAGTCGATCAGTGAGACCCATATACCATCTATAATATATCCGTTCTATTACCCCACTGGTCCCAAGGAGGAGAAAATGATACGATACACTAAGGGGAAAACAATCACACATTGGCTACACATTAAGGCCACTGAGAAAACGGATTACTAGATATAGTTCCACTCTGTTGCCAAAAAGGTGATAGACACAATCAGTTATCTACAACCTTATATAAAATGACATAGGTTAACACTGGTAGTCAGATAACACTTCACTCGTTACATATCCTTGTTAACATGATAAAAACCATTATGTTTTATTAATTAAAAAATATTAAGTTCACAACAGCCTAAGTTATGCATTTCAATCCCCTCTATAATCCTTACTCAAAATACAGAATTTAAGCATTAAAAAGCATTCAAGTGCTGATATAATGATGTGGAAGTAGTGATTTTAATAATTTTCAGGTGTGAGATCATTTGCAACAAATGTGGATGTATGCCATCTCAGGGAAGAGTTACATGTCGTCTTTATGATGTCTGTGAGGATTTCTTCCTTTCAACCACATCCACTAATATTCTCTACTTCTAACTACTGCTATCATGAGGATACATCAGTATTTTATTGGATTGCCACCACTTCTGCCTCTAATACCAGTTGCTAAAATATTTTATTTATAACATTCAGAAAATCCTTCAGTTTTAATAATGAAGATGATGTTCCGAACATCTTTTCCATGACAACTGTCATTAAAGTTATAACCACAAACAATATGTCCATTTAGATTTTCTTCATATATTGTATATTATACTGTCCATCTTCCATGGATAATTAGATATGTGTGAGTCCCACCTAATGAAGGAGAAATCTCATCTTTGATGAAGCAATAATCAGTCACATAATTTCACACATACTAAAAATAAACGTATTCTCTGAAGCGACTTGAGGGTAAGTATACACTAATATTTGCTAGACATAAATATCAGATAGCGCCCATGTAAAAAAAAAATTGAAGTTAATCAGAACTATGCAAAAATCTATCCACTTAATCTTTTGAAGCATAACAGGACATTTTTGTAACAGTTTAACTTGGTTATTACTCCTTATCATGAATATTCTGATGTAATGTCAGAACAGACTGCTGCAGCGCTTTCTACTTGACTTCTGTGACATTTACTGATATCTGATGATAGGTTACATATATTTCTAAATATCTAGATCTTTCAAATTACTTTCTTTTATGCACTCACGGGTGTTTGCTAAAGTGTATATTTAAAATGAAGGTCTCTCCTCATTCATTAAGTTTGTAGGGTCTGAATCTAGCGTCAATTTTCGGATATTAAGGATTGAACTCCAATTAAAGGCACTGCAAATTTCTCTATATTTTACAGCTTCTATGCTGTATGAGAACTATGATGTTTAGTGAGTTGAGAGTTCCAGCCAGAGGCCTGACACATTCCTTTACCTTTGTAATGTTTCCCCTCAGTATGAACTCCGATGCTGAGTAAGGGTTGAGCAATCCTAAAAAAGTTTTACCACATTCTTTACATTTCTAAGTTTTTTTCTCCAATATGAATTCTCTGATGTTCAATAAAGCTTGACTTCTGATTAAAGGGCTTGCCAAATTCATTATGTTTGCAAAACCTTTTCCAGTATACATTCTCTGATCAAGTCAGACTTTAGCATTGCTTAAAGGCCTTGACACGTTCTTTATTTTGGTTAGGATTCCTTCAAGTATGAATTCTGTGATGTCTAGTCAGGTGTGAGTGCTGGATAAAGGTGTCACCACATTCTTTACATATGTAAGGTTTCTCTCCACTATGAATTCTGTGATGCCGAGTCAGGTGTGAGTGCCGGTTAAAGGCCTGGCCACATTCTTTACATATATAAGGTTTCTCTCCAGTATGAATTCTGTGATGTTCAGTAAGCTTTGATTGCTGGTTAAAGGCCTTACCACATTCTTGACATTGGTAAGGTTTCTCTCCACTGTGAATTCTGTGATGTCGAGTCAGGTGTGAGTGACGGTTAAAGGCCTGACCACATTCTTTACATATGTAAGGTTTCTCTCCAGTATGAATTCTGAGATGTTCAGTAAGCTTTGAGTGCTGGTTAAAGGCCTGGCCACATTCTTTACATTGGTAAGGTTTCTCTCCACTATGAATTCTGTGATGTCGAGTAAGGTTAGAGTGCTGGTTAAAGGACTGACCACATTCTTTACATATGTAAGGTTTTTCACCACTGTGAATTCTGTGATGTTGAGTAAGGCTTGAGTGATGGTTAAAGGCCTGGCCACATTCTTTACATTGGTAAGGTTTCTCTCCAGTATGAATTCTGTGATGCTGAATAAGGTTTGAGTGCTGGTTAAAGGCCTTTCCACATTCTTCACATTGGTAAGGTTTCTCTCCAGTATGAATTCTTTGATGTCGAGTAAGCATTGAGTGCTGGTTAAAGGCCTTTCCACATTCTTCACATTGGTAAGGTTTCTCTCCAGGATGAATTCTGTCATGTTGATTAAGGTGTGAATTGTGGATAAAGACCTTGCTACATTCTTCACATTTGTAAGGTTTCTCTCCAGTACGCATTGGCTGATGTTGAGATAGTGTTGTGTGCCAGTCAAAGGCTTTACCACATTCCTCACAAATGTAAGTTTTCTGTCCAGTAGTGACTGTGTTATGTATGTTTAGTCCTGATGATTGGCTCAACATGTTTCCTGTTTTATTATATCTGTGTAAATTTTTTTCCATGTGAATTCTTTGATAATCACCCACAGTGGAGGACTGGTTAACAGATTTCCCACATTCATTGTATTTACAAGGATTCTCTCCCATAGGGATATTCTTATGAATAATCAGGTTGGGGCTTTGGTAAGAGACTTCCACACATTTGTCACATTCATAATGATTCTCTGGAAAATGAGTCCTCACATCTTTATTAACATTTGAACCCTCGTTAAATCTGTTCTCGGATTCACCACACTGAGCAATGTTCTGGTCATCTTGTAGTGTTGACTCCTCCGTGAAGGACCTCTCCAATGGATCCCACTGAGCACTTTGTTCTTCATTTTTAAATCTCTGATTTTCAGAAATATTTGACTCAGTCAATCCAATCCTACTTTCAAAATGGTTCAAATAATTATTTTCAGCATGGACTAAGCAACTTTCCAGATTTTCCAAATTTTCATTCTCCAGATGTGTATGTTTGACCATTTGATCTGAGCCCTTGCTTACAGAAAGACACTGCTTTGCAGAAGTAGCAGACTTAAGAAGGGATGTTTTCCAAAGTGTTTTATATCCTTCACCATTTTGGGCAGTCAGATTCATATTACGGACAGTTGTCTCAGTTTGGTTATGTCCTTCATGATATCTTTGATGCTCTTCACTTTCCCCATCATTTTTCCAGTCTATCATTAAGTGTAAATTCTCAAGGGCACTATGTTTATATCTACCCACTGCCACGTTTTGGAAAGAAGCTTCTATGCACAGCTTTGGCAGGAAACTCTGGGTGCCATGTGAAGATACAGCTGAAAGATATCGAATAAGAGAAAAGTAAAATCATTCCACTTACTATTCTCAGATGAATATAATGAAAGCTTCTAATATGCAAAATTAAAATCAATCACAGAACTTCAGCAATATGGCTGAGAAAGAATCATCAGGACTTCATTCCTCCAAGGAGACATAAACTTGCAGACAATGTACAGACCACAAAGGCTATCACACAGTTCCAAAGTATAATGCTGAAGCACAGATCATGATCCTGTATCTCAAAAAACCAGGAAAAGTACCAATGACCCCAAAATTAGCAGAAGGAAGCAAATTTAAACTTAAAATAGAAACCAACAAAAGAGGAGAGCAAAAACAGGAAAACATCAACAATAGGAAGATTGCATTTTCAGAAAAGATCAACAAAATCGATATACTTTTTACTAAATAAAGAATGGAAGAGAAAATACTAAGTAAAATCAGAAGTGAAGAAGTGAAAGCAGGCACAATATAACCGATACCCTAGAAATAAAAACAATTATAAGAGGTGATGATGGATAATTATATGACCACAAATAAGGATCAAAAAAACTTGTGTAAATCTCAAAACGTATATAACATACCTGACTCCATTATGGAGAAATAATTTGAAAAAATAAAAATATCAAATCATCTACTATTACGTAGATTGAAAAAGTAATAATAATTCAAAAAACAAAAAAACAACCTCCCTACAAAGAAAGTCCTGTACCAGATAAATTCACTGGATAATTCAAACATTTAAAGAGAAAGTACTTTAAATCTCCTCCAACATTTCCAAGGAGTGAAGCAAAAGGAAACTATCAAGCAATCCCTGTGACACCAGCTTTACCAGGTTATCAAAGCCAAGGAAGACACCATGAACAGAGAAGACCAGAAACTACTACCTATGAGGAGCAGTTATTCTAAGTCCACAATAAAATAAAGCAAACTGAATCAAAAGCACATTTCACTATTTTACAACATAATCAATTGAGAATTCCTCCTGAAGTTCAGGGTCTTTTTAACATTTGGAAATCTATAAATTTAAGAGTTTACATTAACAGAACGAAGGCCAAACATGACATGTTCGTATTAACTGATGCAGAACATGAGTTTCATGATTAAAATCACTCAAGAGCAGGAACAGAAGGAAACCACCTCGGTATAACACAGGTCATATAGGTGCTAAAAGATGAAACCTAACGCATTCAATAGTAAAAGACTGAATGCTTCTCCTGTATGACCAGAAACGAGGTAATGGAGTGACGTCTGCACTTCCATTCAACATAGTACTGGATATTCCAGTCAGAACAATCAGGCAAGAAAAAATACGTCAAAGGAATCCAATTAAAAAAAAAAAAAAAAGAAAACTAAATGTTCACAGATGACATGATCTGTAGAAAACCTTAAGGAATGCCTATTTTTATTTGTATGCGATTTTACTGTTTGGTCATCACTTGTATTATTTATTTCTGCTAATTTTCCACAGTAGCCTTTCAAATTTCAATTTTTTAATGCTACAAATGCCTGATTAAAGAAAAAAAGGGTTCAAATAAACAAGGTAACGTTACACTACAAGGAAATAAAAAAAGAAGAAACATAAACATCAAATTTAGTAGAGGAAGGAAATAACAATGAAAAATCAAACATAAATAAAGCAGATCAAAATAAAAAGTAATATAACACTCAAAGTCTCTTTCAAAATTCCAATGCCCTTTTTTTTGGCAGATCAAAACCCCTCTTAACATTCATGTGGCTGTCACAGTATAACATCCCCAGAATAATTTTCGAACTGAAGAGTACGTTGGAGGCACTACACTCCCTGATTTAAAACATAGTACAAAGCTATAGTTATCACAATAATGCACCACAGACATAGATACAGGGATAGCCAACAAAAATGTAGAGACGAGCTACACCTGTCCTTATCCAATATTAATGTGAAGTGAAGATCCTGTCAAAACTTATATTCTGGGGCGCCTGGGTGGCTCAGTGGGTTAAGCCGCTGCCTCTGGCTCAGGTCATGATCTCGGGGTCCTGGGATAGAGTCCCGCATCGGGCTCTCTGCTCAGCAGGGAGCCTGCTTCCCTTCCTCTCTCTCTGTCTGCCTCTCTGCCTACTTGTGATCTCTCTCTGTCAAATAAATAAATAAAAATCTTTAAAAAAAAAAACAAAACTTATATTCTGATTTGGATTTCTAGGTCGGATCTGAGTTTCCACATTTCTCATGAGCTTGTAAGTGATGCCAGTATCTTAGGTCACGTGCCACACTTTTATAGTCCAAAAATAAAAAGGATGACTTTGAACGTAAAGAATATTGTGGAAATTACAACCTTTTTTTTTTTTAAGATTTATTTATTTATTTATTTGACAGACAGAGATCACAAGTAAGCAGAGAGACAGGCAGAGAGAGGAGGAAGCAGGCTCCCCGCGGAGCAGAGAGCCCGATGCAGGGCTCGATCCCAGAACCCTGGGATCATGACCTGAGCCGAAGGCAGAGGCCTCAACCCACTGAGCCACCCAGGCGCCCCTAGAAATTACAACTTCTAATACCAAGAACAAAACAACAATTCTTCCTCAACATTTACTACTCACTACATCACATGGTAACATGTTTTCATAAATTCACCCATGAATCCACACTAACCTATGCGAACAGTAGAGTTGTTCTTCACCTTACAAAAAATATTGTAGCAAAACTTCGGTTACAGTACATCCTGAGTTTTACCCCAGATTGTCTGAAACTGAATTGCTCTGAGACAAACAGACCACTAGACAGAAGCATCCCTAAAAGAAGGCTCACAGCAGGTTTCAAAGTGACAGTGGGAATGCAAACATGACTAAACCACAGAACATATCAACTAAAACAGGTAAGTAAGGATAAAACATAAAAAATTATAGGGGTGCCTGGGTGACTCAGTGGGTTAAAGCCTCTGCCTTCAGCTCAGGTCATGATCCCAGAGTCCCGTGATCAAGTCCTGCATTGGGCTCTCTGCTCAGCAGGGAGCCTTGCTTCCTCCTCTCCCTCTGCCTACTTGTGATCTCTCTCTGTCAAATAAATAAATAAATAAATTTTTTAAAATTACGAATTCAATAAAAAAGAATAAAAATGATAGACTAGAGGTTTTTGTTTTGTTTTGTTTTTATTGTCATTGAAACAGAAATGCTGGGGCACCTGGGTGGCTCAGTCATTAAGCGTCTGCCTTCAGATCGGGTCTGCCTTTGGCTGGGGGCCTGCATTGGGCTCCCTGCTCAGCAGGAAGCCTGTTTCTCCCTGTCCTACTACCCCTGTTTGTGTTCTCTCTCTCTCTCTTTTTTTTTTTAAGATTTTATTTATTTATTTGACAGAGAGAGAGAGAGAGATCACAAGTAGGCAGAGAGGCAGGCAGAGAGGGGGAAGCAGGTTCCTTGCTGAGAAGAGAGCCCGATGTGGGGCTCAATCCCAGGACCCCGAGATCATGAACTGAGCCGAAAGCAGAGGCTTAACCCACTGAGCCACCCAGGCACTCCCTGTGTTCCCTCTCTTGCTGTCAAATAAATAAATAAAATCTTTAAAAAACAAACAAAAGAAAGAAACTGAGAAATGCTTTCAGTGACAAAAATTTTGAATATATTTGTGGATTAAGGTTTCTGTGTTTTGTGAAAACACCAAAGAGACAAACACACAAGAATAGGAGTAAAATTACTATCATTTTTGAGTCTCGTATAGCATTCAAAGTCTCTGTCTCATGTAGCTTTTGTGCGGAGTTGTATTTTACAATTTTAAGGCAGTGGAACATTCAGGATGCATGTTTTCTTTCTCTAGAGCAACAGAGAAGTGATAAGAAATGCTATGTCTGCGACGTGAGTGTGGAATAAAATGGAAATACACAGGGCCAAGCTATTGTTTATTTATAATCTCTACTTCAAACAACGGTATCTTCAGCCAACACAGGAGAGAGCCTTCCCTTTCAAAGCAGACTACAAAGCAAAACAGAGAAGGGAGTTCCCCTGATTAAGTAAGACGACTTATGCACATCTTTCAGTAAATTCTCCCAAAGCCCATAATAATAAATGAGAAAAATTATTAACCTTCAAGTGGAGGAATCCAGCAGAGGACACAGAAGAAATGAAGCATATGGTGAGAGTGCCTGACAGTCTTCAAAGGACACATAGTAACTACTGGGAAATAAACGTCCAGGATAGCAAGTACATCATAAGCTAAATGCACACATGAAAGTTCCCCTTTTATTCAAATATCAAGCCAAATATACTGCCTGTAATAGTGTATATAAGCTCTGTCCTTCGTGTGTGATCACGGGCCTTCACAGGCTCCTCCTGGCATTCTGATCAGCTGAATCACAAAGACTTGGTCCAGAGATCCAGACTTGGGAGGCTAACCGATGTGTAAGAATCGTGGCCCTCTCGCCTCCAGCAGGTGCCCTGCCCTCACTTCATGATGTCCACCAGGGTCCCCAAAACACTGCAGGCTTTCTCCACTGCAACACAGATGGACTGGGAGTTCAGAGTCCAGTCCCAGTCCTCATACTGACTGATGTCCTGTCCAATTTCTGTGTCTCAACAATAATGTTCCAGTCTTTCCTGAGAATGCCCATAGCACGGTACCTCTGTGTATAAATGTCACTGATCTAGTCAAGTGGATGGGGAACAAAGTTCATTCAATGCCAGGTCTGAATCTTTGGCTCCCTTAGCTCATTTATCTCTCAGGTTTAACCAAAGAATGACAAAAATTAATTCCTTTCTAGGTGGTGGAAAAATAGAAGAAAGAGGCACATCTCACATGGGAACCAGGAGACTGAATCAAGGAGCGTGGAATCCAGCTTAAGTTCAGTCAAGGGCACTAAGTGTGTTTTTAAAAACAAAAGCAAACCAAACACTATTTCTAGAATCTGAAGCACACCGTTGCATCTTGGCAGTCAGACTTTGAGAATGTAGGCTCCGGACAAAATTGCCGGTCTGCATGACCGAAGATGAGCAATTTAAAGGGATCCTAAACACAGGGGAGAGGCTAACCCTG